TGAATGAGAGGCCAACACCTTAACCTCTAGGCCACGAGAGCCCCCTACAACAAGTTTAATAATTCAGTGGGAAAAAAGTTTTGAAATGGAGTTTAAAATAAAAATCACTCAAATCTAAAGAATAATTAAAAACAATCCTTTGTCATATTTTGCTGTCATAACACTCTATTACCCCTTTTTGTTTCTCGTATTCTTCGTTCTTTTTTCTTTCTTTTAGCTAGAGACCAATACACCATGCACACGACAGACCCGAAAGACTTCATTTATAAAGCGCATAAATAAACATTGCTTTTAGTTTTTTCTTGACATTCAGTGTGCTTTATGTAGTATTGCTTTAGCCAAAATCGAGCAATCGCCTCCTTTTGCATCGGTCCGAGACCTCTCGGTCGTAAGCTGCTTCCTTTTGGCTTTCCTGAGCTTCGTCTTTCCGCTTGAGCAACTATCTACTAATACCAAAGTTGATTTCGAGCACTTTCGTAATTGGTATAAAAAACAACTGTTTGTGCAACGCACGCACGCGCGCGCACACATACACACACACACACACACACACACATACACACACACACACACACACACACACGCACACGCACAAACTCACACAAACACGCACGGGCGCGCACACACAGACACACGCACACCCAATATCTCTTCCTCTCCTCATCTCTCCCCCTCTCTCTTCCCACCTCTTTTTATCTCTCTTGCTCTTTCTCTCTTATCCTCTCCAAGAACTGGTGGTATGTGTGTGTGTGTGAGTGTGTGTGTCCTTCTCTCTCTTACATGTACACACGACATTACCCATGACCAACAAACCCACCCAGAAGCTTCGTTACCTTTGTATTTCGGACACTACCTGGTCCTGACATGAAGGGTCACTGTGAATGGCGGAGCAATTAGCTCGGGGTTGGGGGGGGGGTGAAAAGGAAGAGCGAAAGATGAAACTTTAATGCAGAGACAACATTCCAAAAGCAATCAGCGTTGTGGTGACCATGTGCCTCGCCGTCGCACGAAGACCTGAGTTCGATTCCCGTAAGGGGAGAATTTTTTTAGCGACTATCTTAATCTCTCAGCCTGCTAAGTTATTGTTTTCCCTCTCAGTCCGCGTCGTCGCTGACAGGTGGGGTCGAAATCCACCTCCAAAAAATGTAAATGTGAAATAGCGTGGTGGAATCAGGCTCTCGTCAAAATAATCAAAGAGAAGAAACTTGCATTTTTCTGCAGGTTTGTGAATTTTTATGAGATTTTTGTTCATGCCCATTAAAGAACTCATTTCTGTGTGGACATTTCTTTAAAATGTTTATTAAAGGCACAACAAAAGTAAATTTTCAGTTACCACAGACTCTTAAGCTAAGGAAATAACTAATCTTTGGCGGCCATTTTCTCACTAATTTTACCCCTGAAAACAGGTGACCCCAACCTTCTTCATTCGTAAATATATCAACTTGTATTCAAAATAAATGGATATTTTTTTCATACAAATAAAGACAAGTGAAGAAGCTTTAAGATGATACTAATAACCCTACATCCCCAAAAATTGACGAAAGCCTGATTCCCCCACGCTGCCTCGCAAATGGTTCCGATAGGAGCGGCAAACACTTGCCTGAAAAAACCCCCTCCAAAACACCCAAAGAAACACCATATACCAGCACATGTGCATAGATTGCCAGGTGCGTCATTTTACCTTTAGATGAGTCGCTCCTGTTGCCATCAGTCAGAGAGTTTGTTCATTACCTCCAACACACAGAACATAAAAAGGCCATAAAAACTCAAGAGGTTTTTTTTGGCGCTGCTCCTGCGGCGACAAGGTCGTGTTTACATCGGCTCTGCTTGTTTTGGATTCTTTTTAAGTTGATCAGAAAGGCATCAAGAACAATTTGTAGAGACCTAAGTAACTTTGAATATCTGCACAAGACAAACGTTCTAAAAAAAGGCGGAAATAATGCTTAGTGACCATAGCCGTCCACTCACATCGGAATTTCACCTATCAACCTGTAGTAAACGATACATTTTCAAAAAAGCAAGAACAGAGAGATATAGAAATTAAAAAGAGAAAGAGAGAGAGAAAGAGAGAGAGAGAGAGAGAGAGAGAGAGAAAGAAAGAGAGAGAGAGGGGGGGGGAGAAAGAGATAGATAGATAGATAGATAGATAGATAGATAGATAGATAGATAGATAGATAGATAGATAGATAGATAGATAGATAGAGACAGAGAGAGAGAGAGAGAGAGAGAAAGAGAGAGAGAGAAAGAGAGAGAGAGAGAGAGAGAGAGAGAGAGAGAGAGAGAGAGAGAGAGAGAGAGAGAAAGAATGTTTTACTGAGCGCGTTGACATGTATTTACTAATGTCCTGTCTTGTTGTGCGTATGCGTGAGTGCCACTAACCTTTGTGACGTCTACTGCCATTGTTAACGACCAAGACAAATTTCTCGCTGCGAGATGAATAAAGATTGTCATTGTCATTGTCATTGTCTTTTTTAGTATATGGTAGTGTAGTATGGCCTTTACACTCTCCAGCCTTCTTCCCATAATTCCTCTCTCAATTCCAAGGTTTTTAGTCGTTACCCGTTTTCCAACGTTCACGGAGTACTACCTTAGACATTATTCATGAGACGACAACAATAATTACGATGAATGTTTTAGAGGGCAATATTAGCTGGAGCAGACGTACCCAGGCACCTTTATTGAGCTACCTGTGTTGTGGTGTGAAGATACCCGTGGATGGTTTATTGCCCGTTTAAAAACTTAAAGATCATTTAGGAGACGAGACTTCAATATTTAATGCCCAAACCCGATAAGACATAGTATAGTGGGTGGAGAACGTTGAAATCATTCCAGGTCAACCCAGGCTCAAGAATGGCCTGTTCTAATGTGAAGACACCCATATGACGTAACTCAAGTTCTTCCTGACCTGTCAGTTATCTGTGCCTGGCTGTGTCCGGCCTGCCTGAGGCTAGATATTGTTTGCCCGTTGTTTGACGTTGTCTCGACCTGTCTGTCACATATCTCTCCATGACGTCTTCTTTTGGTGTGGTCAGATCTTTCCCGCCGGGCAAATAGAGTGGGCTCTTAGCACCAGGATTCAAAGCTATTTCAATTCCGAATGTAATCACAACTGTTTGCTCTTGAATCAGGCTGTAGATAATACGCCGTGAAAGCCAGGCGACACAATAACAGCCAGAAACCGTAGTGTGTCATTTTGCGGGATATTTGTCAAGACGAGGTGTCTACAACGTTCAAGTACTGAAAGGGTCTTAATTCTTCTTCTAAGATTTATGATCTCGAATTATATTGGATTAACGTCACTGTTTCAGATAACTAATATTGATTGCACTTCGGGATTTTTTCTTTTAAAGACGATCTGTGTTTAAACTGACACAGAGAATCAACATAAAAAACACACGTTTTGTTGTATGTGGGGCACAGGCTTGATTTTTCCGTTCTGATGTCATGGTGGGGTCGGCAAAAGCATGCAGGTGAAAGTTACGAAGTGAACTAAGATCTAAACGACGTCTGTTTTCAATCTTAAAGCTCAAAGACTCTCCCAAGACCGGGAAAAATACAACAAATTGTGCATGAAACGTGACCAAATCAAACTGAAGTGAATTGTATCATTAGAGTCAAGGGAGAAACAAGAACTTGAAGACAATAGAGAAATCAATTGTAATGGCAAGGAGAGAGAAGAGAAATGACATGAGCGAGATAAAGTTTTGAATAATTTTTTTTTTAATCCCTACTTCAAAACCCTCACACACAAACACACACACACACATACACACACACACACACACACACACGCACGCACGCACACACACACACACACACACACACACACACACACACACACATACTCGTACAAACATGCTCACACCACGAAAGAAACATCTGTATTCTCACTGTTGTCTACTGGAATTGACCAAAAGATAGTGTAGGTGTCAGTCGGACAAGTAACAGATAAACTTTAAATAGAGAATTGATTCTATTTTTCTGCTTAGATTTATTACCACAGTTTGTTTGTTTAATGTCAGGGTGTGAGATAAAACTGATATTAATGACACCATAATATCAATGTTGCAAAAGATGGTGTGGTATTTAAATTTAGGTGAACTAAAAAGCTTTGATGGGAAAGCGGAATTATAAAAAAAAATCATCTTAGGCACTGGCAGAACAAATGGGTGTGACACATGTTATGGCATACTTTTATCTCCCCTTAAAAAACCGTGACGTCATCTATCACTGATAGGGCTGAGGCAAGTGAGTGGAGAGGCATCATAGACTTGCATTAACACAATATCCCAGATGTTCACTTCCATGGTTGCCACTCTGTGCCCTCTATAAATACTTCGCTGTCCTTGGTGTCAACGATGTGTTCAACAACTCGAATGCAAGCCCAACATGTTCCTACTTTCCCTTCATTTGTTTTAAAATAAAGTCGAACGAATACTGGGGTCCATGGGGAACCTGATTTAAATCCGGGTGCACAGTAACGGATATTATAATTCAAGTCGATGGGAAGCATTAACCCAGGGTTATCCATTTCGCAGCCCAGTGTGATACCAGCTGATCTTAAAGAGTGTCCTCTTGTGAAATAATGAGGGAAAAAGCTCGTATATGCAGAAAATAGTACACGCTACATGTGTTTATTCTGGCTTTGTAATTTGGAAATCAGCAATTGTGAATTTTAAAAGCACAAAAATTTTTTTGGTTTAAACCACGGATACGTAGCACTCTGAGTATTTTAGATTTGATAATCCTGCTGACTGAAATGACAAATGCACTTAATAATCGTTATTTTGTCGACGTACGTCTTGTTACTCAAAGACAACCGTTAAACAATGTATTTCGAATTTTGATAATACTGTTGTCATTGTGGTTTAACTGCTATCCCGTAGATCCTTCATATCTTACCAAGTGCATGTCAAAGCGAAACCAAAGGTCGCCGTATCGTTAACATCTGGCTAAGCTTTCTTTACTTAAACTAATACAGGTCCTTGTGTCTTTTCCAGGGCAAAGCCAACCCTTCAAATCGAGAGTCAACAACGGGGACACTTCTGAAAACTAATACGGCTTCTGGTGAGGCCTCCCGATCGATTCTTACCAGGAGTGCGGAGCAGACAACAACATGGAGCACGCCGAGGAACTAGGTGGACAGTTCTGTGATTCTTGACATAGTGACCAAAGAAGATCGGGTGTCTACTACTCTGCGGAAGTGAAAGTTGAGCACTTTGTTATTCATATTATTTTTGCCCTCCCACTGGAAAATACAAGTTGATTATTGATTGCCATAGTTTTTAAAGATAAATTCACCAATAAAAATGGGAGGATTTCACTGTCGCTTTCTAAAATACAACGAACATGATCCCAAAGACTGTATATCACTCTTTAAAAGGATGCATAAGGACTATGACAATAAATTGCGGAAAAATGTGATTTAAAAACAAGCATGAGAAACTGAATGAGGAACAGAATCCAGAAGAAACGGTTTGTATTAGTGGACTGAAAAGCCATAAAGAATGGGAAAAGATTGTGTTATTTAATGGAAAACAAAACATTGTAAAACAAAAGACAATAACATTATGAGTTAAACATCGTGGAATGTGAATCAAAGTGAAAGGGAAAAGAATGTAATATTCTGACGTGACCTGGAGAAGGAGAGAGAAAGAAAGCACGATGAAAAAACAAAGACAAGACCAATAGCAATAACAGGGATAACGAAACAAAAATAAAAAGCAAAGCAGCAAATTACCAAGAAAAAAAACCCCGAAAAAAAACCGGCGCCACCGAACAACACACCTGTCAGCTCACAGTGGATAACTAGGCAGGACCAAAACCAGGAATAACGTGCAAATCAGCAACACACCTGTCAAGTCACAATTGGACTTTGCAAAAACGTCATATCACCATGGAGATGAGTCATCTGTACCACGACGGCAGCCGCGGGGGTCCGACCATCGAGCTGGATGTCAAAGAACAGATGCGGACACGTGAAGTCAACGCCCGCGAGGAACGAAACTTCGAGAAGAAGAGCAGGACTTTTGAGAAGGCTAAGGTTCTGTGTGAGAAGAACACAACGTGGGAAAGGTGGCGAGTCGGGCAGACGCTGCATGTGAGGCCTTTCTTTGTTTGTCTTTTGATATTGTTTGTTTGTTTGTATAGTATAGGGTTTTACGGCGCTCGCAACTGCATAAGGTCATATGAGCGCGCGGGACACACCTAATACTTTTTCGTTGGTAGGAAATTTTGAATTTTGCCCGGGTGGCGGCCGAAGCCTACTCTTATCGATTTTAGACCACCAAGGGATCTTTAACGTGCGCAACTTGCACACGGGCCCTCCGAGATTTTTCGCCCTTGTCCGAGAAGGCTAGGTGTAGAGCTTTCCTACCAGAAGATCAGGGGTGTGGCAGAAAGACAGCAGTTAGGAGGAGCCAAGGAGTAGCAGTAGAAAGGCTGCAGAAAGAGTCAGGAGCCCAGAGGAGGGGGCAAAGGAGGTGAGGGGGTGGGGGCAGAAAGTGGAAATGAAAGCAGACAACAGAACATTGTTAGAGATCAGGAAAGGATGTGAAAGGAGACAATTTTAGAGAAGAACATTTTTTTTTGGTCGCTACCCGGAATCGAACCCGGGACCTTTGAATGAGAGGCCAACACCTTAACCTCTTGGCCACGAGAGCCCCCCTTGTCTTTTGATAGATGTAAAACATATAATGCATGCTGTAGAGCATGGATACGAGCCCATAAATGCTACTCTTCTTATTCTTCTTCTTCTTCTTCTTCTTCTTCTTCTTCTTCTTCTTCTTCTTCTTCTTCAGTATCTGGACCTTCGTCTTCTTGACCTAGTTTTTCCGATCTTGCTGCAACAAAAAAACAACCCAAGATCTTTTGCTCTAATGCCTGCCTTCATTGTTTTGGGTCCACGCCAGACTTCTATATCTCGCTCCCATCTTCTATTTGGTCTCCCCTTTTACTCTTGCCTTCTACTTTCACTTTCAGAAGATGTTTTTCGAGTGAATCATGGCGTTAGATTCACAAAAAGTTGTTTAGGTTTTGTTTAATTTTCTTCTGGAGGAAAGTTTGTGTTTCTATACCGATTCTACTCTTTACTTTTTCATTCTTTATTTTCGGTATCTACGATATTCTAGAAGTTATTCTGTAACAGTTCATGTCAAAACCCTAATCATTTTGAATCATATTCACTGATGATCCGTGCTTAACATCTGCATATCGCGGTAGTGAAGATGGTACTTTTTAGAAGCTTTTTACCTGATCATAAAATTCATTTTCGATTACTTTTTTCCAGACTGCACCTTTTCCTATAAATTGTGCAAAGAAGAAAGTTTTGGTGGTGATGATCTAATGTTGATTCTTACTTATTTTATTTAGTTGTCGAATGATGCTTCTTCGAGCAGGACACCACGGGAACGTATTACTCGTGACATTAAATTCAACATTGTAATTAGAAATGTGATCACTTCTGCAAAATTGTTCAATAACTACTTTTTCAATTCCTTAGCCCAAAGAGTACCTGGTAGCAATTTTGATGTCCAAACCCTCCCTTACGCTAGGACAAAATAGCAGTTAGGGAAATACTTATTCAAGTCCACAATCTTAAACCCAAAGGGTGTTGAATGAACTATTACAATAAAGCAATTTTGCAACAGTTGCAGTAACAATGATAACGACAACACTAACACTGCCACCAGCACCATCACTACCATTACCATTACCACCTCCACCACTACTATCGCCACTACCACAACAACTGTGACTATCACCACTACCATTACTACTACCACCACCACCACAACCATCACCACTACCCCCACCACCACTATCATCACCACTACCACCTCCACCACTACTATCACCACTATACATTCGTCACTAATATCACTTGAAGTTATGAAACAAACAACAACAATTATTCGCTTCTTAAAATATTATAATTCACCTTTTCAGACAATATGGGAGAGAACTCCCCGTTTGGAGAGAAGTTTGGCAATCGAGAAAGCAAGAGTTGAGGCCCTTCAACGAGCAATCCTGGCACGGTCTTACAAACGGCCGGACAACGTTCCAGTACCTCAGCCGATGGTCATTAGGGAGGACGTTGTCCGCAGGTAACTGTACCTCGGAACACTGACTTCACCGCTGTATGATCTCAGTTTTAAAAAATACGCTATAGTTTTACAGGCCTTGTAAACCATTCTTGTTTACGTTTAAAAACGGATTTGTATACGTAATCACCGGCAAAAGCCTGACCGAAAACAATACCTTTTGAGAAGCACGTACAATGTTGGATTTTTTTTAATAGGAAAAGAAACATGTTTATATGGTGAACCTCAAAAACTGAGTACAGAGAGATAACAATCCGAGAAAACACACACATACACACATACACACACACACACACACACACACACACACACACACACACACAAACACACACACACACACACACACACACACACACACACACACACACACACAAATCACCCCCCCCCCAACCAAAAAGGAACCAAAAAAAACCCCCCAAAATAAAAACCAACAACAGCAATAACATCAAACAAACTGATACTCACTGATAGGGGCGTTAAACCTATACCATTTCACCATTTTCACTATCAAACAAACAAAAAATAATGAAAAACCTTTTTTTTTCTCTGGGAACCAAATACAAAACTGTACTGGCGTTAAAAAGGAAAGTGCAACTTTCTGATTGTGTGTAAAATCTAGTCTTTTGAGTCTTTGTGTTTTTCCTTTCATGTACGTAATATGTACTCAAAAGTAGGCCACATAATAAAAATATCATGTTAATGCTTTAGTTAGTGTTTACAGCACCAACTTTAAAGAAAAGAAGAAAATTTACATTTTTGCTCGACCTCGTGGCTGATTGATTTTTTTCTGTTCGTTGTTTCGTAAAATGAAGTTCATGAAGTCTATGTTTGTGAAAAGCAGCAAGAACATTTGATCATTGTCACTGAAGGAAGATGACAGGTTTAACTCAACTTTAGAGAAATTGAGTCATAGGCATACTCTGCAAGTTTCTGCTGTTGTCAGGACATTCGACGCCTGCTCTTCTGTTGACCTTGAGTGTCCTGGCAACAGCAAAAACGCGTGGAGCATGCCGATGGATCGATTTCCCTCATGTTGAGTGAATCCTACCATCTTTCTTGGGTGACAATGATCATAGTATGTTGCTGTTAAGTTATTTAAGAGGACAGATCTTTTATTTCAGCGTCCACCTTCGATAAGACTGGGCCAATGGGGGAATTTGTGTACAGTGCCTTTTCCAAGGTCGTTGCGTTGGACCAAGCTGAGCACCAAATCCCCGAACCTACAGTCTCACGATAACGAATCTGAGCCTAGCCACTAGAATAACGACACCACCTTTGTCTGTCTGTCTGTCTGTCTGTCTGTCTGTCTGTCTGTCTGTCTGTCTGTCTGTCTGGCTGGCTGTCTGTCTGTCTGTCTGTCTGTCTGTCTGTCTTACTTTTTCTTTTTTTTTAATGACTGTCATTATTTCTTACTTCTGAAAACAAATCCCTTTTTATTTCCTTTCAGCCAACTCACGAAGAGCGCCCAAAAGAAAAAGCGCCGTCGTGACAGGGCCCGACAGCGCATGCGCCGACAGAAAGCCGAGCAAGAGAAGCCCCTCAACACTGACGTGGGTGTCCAGGAGAGACACGTCCAGAAACCACCTGACTTCGTCAAGAGGAGCGAGCACGTAGTCAAGGCCCTGGCTCGCCTCAACTGGCGCCAGGAAACCCGTCGACGTGACCACCTCAAATTCAAAGAAGAGCTGGAGGAGTTCAGCAAACCAGTCATCGACAGAGCTAGGGTGGTCCTGAAGGGGAGAAACGACATCGACGTCGATAATATGCTGGATAAACTGGAGAACTATTTCACTCCACACAGCAATCACACTGGGTTTACAACGACTTCACGGCGAACTCAGAAGAAAATGGGCGGCAGTACAAACACTCTAGCCTCGAAGAGCTCGCAGAGCCAGAGTACTTCCAGTTTGGTTGGTGAATTCCGACTCACGGAGGGAAACCTGCTCAAGTTAGATGGAGGGCAGTCTAGCGCGGTTGGTAGTGGTGGCGGCGGCGGTGGCGATGATGATGATGATGCAGACGACCCGAGTTTGCTTCTGCTGTCTGTAGCGGCGTCTTCTCAGACTGATTTGACATCTTCTGAACTGATACCAGACGTGCCCAATGACGTAGTAGGAAACAGACAGAAGAATGACGCAAACAGTGGTGACGTCAGTTCTCCTGATGATCACACCAATAAAAGAAAAACAGATCTCTCCCTTTCATCAGAAAACCTAACTACATTTACAGCTGAAGAGGCTCGGCGCATCAGCGAAGAATTTTCAAATGTTGGAAAGGATTCTCAAACTTTTCATTTACCTCCGATAATTGACGGACTTTATGGAATGTCTCTCACTTACAGGGGAACTGAACACACCAAAGACTCCAAAAACTCTACCTCTGTCAAATCACGACACGGCAGAAGCCAAAGCCAACCTGTACACAACAACAGTGTCACATCCAGCGATGCAGGAGCAACGAACTCTCCCACTAACAAAGACATATTCTCGCCTTCAACAAGCGTATCAAACGTAATTCTAGAAGAAGATGAACCGGAAGATCAGGCACAGGCAGGCATAACCCCCTCCTCTCAGCACATGAGCCAGCAGCAAACGTCGTATTTCATGTCCCGTCATCACAACAGCGGCGGTTTCTCGGACAATGGCAATGATGAGATCCGCAGTACGGCCTCGTACGCTCTCAGTACTGTGATAGGTCTTCCCAGGGTGTGGCGTCAGACCGCCGCCAAGAAAAAGGAACAGCCGGCCCCGGACGCCACGCCCAGCGCCATAGCCAGAAAGCACAGAAGGATGAGGTCCAACCCAAGATTATAGGATATTTCTTATTTTAGGTCTAAAAATACTGTTGTTGTTGCTGTTGTTTGTCTATTGTTATCATTTTTGAACTACATCTGAATCGTGGAGCGCTGTGAGCTCAGTTGGTTCCAAGCTTGTTATCAGGGTGTTGATTCAAAGTTCTAAAGACAGCAAACTATCAATAATAGCTTTATTGTCATAATCGTTTGATATAGGTGGAACTCCTTGTTCAACACTGTAAGGTCAGTTAAGAAGTCGGACCTTCGCTTCGATAAGATCGGTCCGAGCGAGTGAAGTGCTTTTTCCTTATTCATCAGCCATTCCTATGTCAATAACCGTCCTTTGAGAATTCGAACTAGAGTAAACGACATCCTAGCACAGCTTGGTACCTACTGAGCTATCAATGTGCCTTAATCTTTTGGGGGTATTTTCTAGCTCATCACAACGTGCACCATAAAAGCGGGGCTATCGAAGTAAGGTCTCGGATTTAACGTTTATTTTTTAAAAGACCGAACTAAGAGATGGAGAGCCAGGAAAACTCCAGTTAGAAAAATTCAAGAATATTCTGTTTCGGGTTAGAGCAAAGTTTGCGACCAAGGAACAATCCAAGTGGATATACTAACCGAACAAAATATGTGAACCTTCTTATTTCGATTTACAGAAAATTCCTGGAATTTACATTTCGCCTTATTGGTTTCTGGATGTTAACGGAAGATCTGAAGAGTGTTAAAATATGGTCACACATTATCTACGCTTGTTACGACCAAGCCTTTCATATCGGAGAACACTCAAATGCCAACTTTTCAACATCAACATTTTTCCATTTCGGATCAGGTAACTAGCAAGGGGCGGGGCTCTTCCTTGCGTTTCGTGTTTCGATCATCATCAAGAGCAACTATCATTTGCCTTTGGCGATGAAGCAACGAAGACGATAGTCCTTCCATTTCTTTTTGTGGGATCCGCTATTTTTGTCGTATTTTCGAACAGCACTATTCCCTTTTGTGTCAATTGATACCACAAGTTTAGATAACAAACTACCCCCTCAAGAACTCTGTGGTGAGTGAGCACAACATGGACCAGAACCCAAATTCAGTGGATAAACTCAGTTTTCGCAGGTCTCCTAAACACTTTTGCCACAAGTTAATAGATAACAAACACGATTAATATGCTCTTCAGATTCAACAAGAATGGCTAGGTCCCTAGTGTGTTTTGCTTACAAAGTCCGGTTTTCTATATATATTTATGAAGTGATGACAACCTAACAAAGATGGCGGTTTCTGTAATGGGTTTAAATACACGTAGATCGACATGTTTCCTGGAAAAACCCTGTGAACAGTGTACCAACATTAAGATGTTCTCTGCACGTGTAGCCAAGCATTACCTCGGGTTTTATACGCGAGTATTCTCTACTACTACTATAATTGCCTTATGGATGTTATTCATCTTTCATTTTTGCATAGCATTTACAATGCTTCATTAGATTATTTATTTATTCAATTCATACAAACTGTTTGGCTTGTGTGTGTTATTTCTGTTAATGTTGTTATTCGGAATAGTTAGCAAGGACCGACCCAGTATTTTTATATATAACAGTTTTTTTTTTAAAAACCCACACAATTGTTCATAGGATGAGCGCTAATTGCATACACTAAAGCGTCTAGTAGTTCCGGACCTATTCATGCTAAACTGTAAAGTGATAAAAACAAGTCCTCTTTGTAGGACCAAATTCTGCACAAGTCTGTTATTTAAAAAAAATGTAATTTTAAAGGTTTTTCTCCCTCATTAAATACTATCAGGATCATTTGGAAAGCAGACTGCGTCGACCCAGCCTGTCTCACAACCAACCTCTCAATAGAGAGATTCTCCCCACACGGGAATCGAACTCACGTCTCCTGTGTGCGACGATGAAGCGCCTTACTACCATTCCACAGATCCTGGTCATATCTGTAAAAATCTTATATCTTCCTGGGCTTCACGTAATGTGAAGTGTAGTATGGACTCTCTCTTTATCCTTCTTCCTCTCTTCTCTCTCTCTCTCTCTCTCTCTCTCTCTCTCTCTCTCTCTCTCTCTCTCTCTCTCTATCTTCGTCTGTCTCTTGATATTGGTGATTACTAAAGCAGTATGCATAAATCGGATTTTTAAAAGTTTAGTTTCAAAAATAGTTTTACCGCACTTGCACCACTAAAATGCCACTAAAGTGCCAATGATTAGAGGTATTACTGGAGAGTAACATGCAAACAAAAGAAGAAGGAGAGATAAGGACAATAGATATTTGATAGACAAGAAGGACCAATCCGCACCAAAGCACATATTGGCCACCCACAGGTGGTAGACATAGAGGATAGATTTGGTTTATATATCAGTAAAGGAGAGACGTGGTCAATACGTTGGGAATCAAGGACGGTTTAAAGGTGTTAAACATTTTGATAAATGTTTTAAGATTATTCTAGAAACAGAACCTCCACATTCATTGTCGGCATATGTGTTTTAGTTTTAGTACGCATTTTGCCGCACTTGCAACACAATTAAGTCATATAAGTGCCGAAGATCAGAGGTGTTACAAAAGAGTTACAATAAAAGAATGACAAGGGATCAGGACGATAGGTGTTTGATCGATAGGAAAGAAGGAACAATCCACACCAGAGCACCCGCCAACCACTTGCGGTACAGGTTTACTTCAGCCTTCCTTTCGGAACCTAGGTGAGCTAGAACGCACGCCCTGCAAGCCTTCATTCATTGTGGAGCCAACATGGGAGTAGCCATGATATCATGCAGTTCAGGGGCGGCTCGTGGGGCAAAAAAGTGGGTGTGCACAATAATAACTAAGCTATCGCATGCTGAAGATAGTCAAGGGCATAGTAGTACATGTAAATGAGACGGTGTATAATTTTAGGATATTTTGGGTGGTGAGGGAGGGCCTCGTGCTTTTATTTTCATTTTTTTTACTTGTCGCTTTGATTTCTTGTACTGGATTTGTTTGTTAGCTAACATCAATTTCGTTCATCCTGTATTAGAACTGAACTCTCAAGTACATGATTTAATAACTGTCTCTATTCCGCCACAAAACCATTCCAAGGCACAACTCATAGGACGGTCACGTTCACCTCCCTCAGGTTCACGGTTACAGAGTCACTTTAAAGGTCCACGTTTATTTTTTTCTTCTAAATTCTGTGCTTGAAAATTGTACCAACAAGTTCTATTATACCGGACGTGTTGAAAAAGGAAACATTTGGCTGTGATCGTCCACGTGTACGAAGAGACACAAATGAGACTATCTGTCATGCACAAAAGACTATTTTTGTGGTCTTATTTTTAGAATGGGGGTGGGGGGCTGAAGAAGACCCTAGTCTTATTGTCCGTCTCCGAGAGGATAAAATCAAGTGAGAGGAGAGTCCGAACAACTCCTCAAGTTTAAAAAGAGACCTTTTGAGATTCCAACTATGATTATAAGAGAGACCTTTTTGGGATTCGAACTAGGATTATTTGCACTATGGTGTAGCAAGATACGTACCAACAAAGTTAGAGATATGCAACTGGAGATGTGGGCAATAATGATGTGAACTTTTACAAAAGGGTGAAGTGATGGATTGGCTAACCTTTGACCTTCCCTTGAATGTGCTCGTAAAAATTCTTCGTACACAAACATCCCTACTAATTTATAAAATATAGGTTTCGCTGGTTTGACTGATGGAAAACATATTTTGCAAAGAAGAAACCATTATGCGGAGTCTCGCCTCTTAGATATTGTATAACTTGTTTCTATCATACAGTGTACATTTTGCTCTCAGAAAACGATTAATGTCACACTGATCGAACTCTGTCCTCAATTGGATTATTTCACCTGCGTCTGTGGTTTAATGGTTCGGTTTATTGGTTTGCATTTTTAGTAAGGAACACACATCCATCTACATGTGAGGAAGAAAATTATTTTATCAAGTATTTCTGTCCCTCCTTCAGAGATGAAGGTTGACCCTGATCACAAGGTCGAAGCATGCTATTTGTTCTCTCGCTAATTTGATAGTGTCGATTGGGGACTTACATTAATAGAAATACTTTTACGCTATGACTTTTTTGGAGCCCACTAGAGGGAAGTTAAAGGTGAGGCAGTCCATTACTTCACTGTCCTGTGCGACTTATCTTTATCAGTTTGTTCAAGAACTCTCATGTCGTTCACAAATGTGTTGCTTGATATTAATTCAGTCGTTATCACCCAGAGTCTTATAGTTCAAATCCTAAAATAGTGCATTCTTGAACTTGGATTGGTTTTTTTTTCGTGTGTGGGGGGTCTTGGCAGTGGGTCGAGATGTTTTCCGACTGGTTAAATTTTGAGGTTTGCAGTGTCACAAAGGGGTCCTTAACAGTCATGAGGTCCTCCTTAGATAACTAGTAGCAGTAAAGTTTAATCTCCCACGTCTTCGCACTTCAAGACGGCCCCAGCCTGGTGTTTCCTGTTTCAGCGAGACATCACTGTTACCGCACTGTGACCCACTCGGCTACACCGCCTGGTCAAGTAGTTCACAACGAGGGCTATACTTTACCTTTACCGATAGTTTTATCGTGTTGAAAATAACGTCTCCGCCATACAGTGATATTTCTAGTTGGACAAACAGACTGTTATATATTCATCCAGACATTATAGGTGATCAACATCCATTTAACTGATTGGAAACGAATAGCCC